TAAATATTTATTCCTCACGTCGAAGCCAGTTATTTATTTGGTTAATCTGTCTGAGAAGGATTACATACGTAAAAAGAATAAATGGTACGTACACGTTTTTTATATCATCTCGGATTTATTAATATGAAACTCTATCAGTTAATTAGCATGTTATCGTATGAATTTCCTTCACGTTTCATCACTGCTACTAAATTCCAGGTTAATAAAAATTAAAGAGTGGGTGGATAAAAACGATCCAGGAGCTGTTTTAATCCCATTCAGCGGAGTTTTTGAGAACAAACTACTCGATATGGACGATGCAGAACGTGCGAAATATTTAGAAGAAAACAAAGTTACTAGGTGGGTAAAATTGTCTATAATTTATTGCCCTACAGACCACGGATTTTTATCCAATACAGTTAAACTTTGAGCCTAATAGAGCTACTTTTGTAGCTTTAAGTAAGCTACTAATTAATGATCACAAGTAAGATTATAATAATCTTCTTCAACGTCATATATTACAATTTATAACTTTTTTCCTTATCATACATATTTGGAGTATTTCTAATTAATACCTGATAGCGATATAAAAAAAACTTCTGGAAGTACATACGTTATTCGTGAAATTTAAAAATCCACTACTTCAACATTTTCTTGAACGCGTTATCTTCGGACATGCAATCTTCTATACAAATACTCAATATGTAGATTGTACTATACATGTAAATTTTCAGCAAAGAAAACCACCGTTTCTATATCCAAACTTATACTTTGTCTTGCAGAATACCACCAAATTTTATAAGGAAAATCGTTTTAATTGAAAAGAAGAAGCCTGAGTAGAAATCTGTTCACTTCGCACAAGCACTCTATATTTTGTGCCTACATATCATGTGTGCTTCCTTAAAATTTCTTAATGCATAAAAAGCCTGATTACACATCTCCAGCCGTACTTTTCAAGATGAATACAAAACTATCTTTATACTTGCAAATGAAACGACCGGCAAAATAAGTACCCTATGTCCATCACGAATTAAGAGGAAAAGGGGAGGGAAAAAAGTAGAAGAGAACGAACGTAAAAAATCGTAAAATTCGTAAACTCTGGATCCCCTCCCCCCGTGCCTCAGAACCTAAGAAACTGAGGTTCCCACATTTAGCTATGCACCAGGTTGTCTACCGATGGTAATAACAATGGAGGGCTTCTCACAGCTCGAGCTTGTCTAGACCAGCCCTACTTTCGCGTAGGGTGACCAATAAAAACTGCGGCGTCTTTATCCTCGGCGCATTATATTTTTACGAACGGCTATTCAAATTCTTGCGAAATTGCATAAAAACCCCTCCCTACCCTCGCGGGCACACCGGTATAACCTATGGGGGGACGAGCGGAATGAGGATCAACCGGTTCAGTTGTGGCTAGTGGGTCATTCGCGGATAGCACAAACCCAGTTCATGTTGATGCGTGTAAATTGGATCGAATTCGTTGTGGATTTTCAGCCTCGGGCAGTATCGTACGTAATTTATATTAGTTTATCACATTTCGTATACTACGTCGCTCGAACACTATGAAATGAATTAGATTAGAATTTAAGATAGATTGATATTACTTTGTATCCTCCGCGGTAGAGACGAAATTAAAATAGAAATAAAAATTCTGATTCGAAGTGAGCACGTTATTACTGAATTTTATATTTCCCACGATCGAAATTGGATAATAAAATTGAGATAGAAAGTTCAATCAAGTTGGAATAATATTAAATTTCGTCCAAGTAATGTAGAATTCTAAATTGTCACAATATCGAGGTCTAACAGAGGTAATGAGACAAATTTTAGTAAGAGTAATAAGAATTAATTCTTTATCAATATTCATCGTCAAATATTCAAAATCGTAACGATTCACTAAATTGTAAATCATTCATTTCAACTCGATAAATTTATTAGAGTAAAATTTTTACTCAGACTTTTTCAGCGATACTCTCTGAGGGTTGAGAATCACGATACACGATCCCATAACAAACGCTACCGAAAGAAAGAATAAAATTCAAGAATTAACAAAAATGAAGACCCACGATTTAGACGAAAGGAATTCGTCGTCGTGCGAATCTAAGATTGCGTCGCAATTAGATCAAAGCTAAGAAATTGCTTAATTACGTGGAAAATCGATCAAATGGATACCTATCATCAGACATCGATGGCCAGAGATTCAAAAATTCCTCGGCAGATTTTGCCGATCCCACGCGCACTCTCGTGGTAATCACAGGGGACAAACGAGAGATTTCTAGATACTGCGATTTTATTTCCGAGACCGCAGATAACCGAGGCGGCCCGAAAGTCGATCCCGGACAGAGTTCGAGTGATAAAATTGCGGTATTAAGTCGTTCGGCTTTATGTGTATTCTCTGAAGTCTCTCGATGTTCGTCCAGGCCTCGTGGAACTGGATGGCCGACCTCCTCTTCCTCTACCCTGTCATTAGACGATATTCGGTTCGAGACAATCGTATTCCACGGTCCTGTTTCTTTCGCCACCCCTTCTTTAAACTCGAGAATTCATTTCTCTTCCTTTCTTCCTTTGCTTCCTTTTTTCTAACGTAGCGAGCTAGAACTCTCGTGTTTCACCTTATGAATTGTTTCTAGCGCCCTTGACAAGATCATCGTTCAAGGATACAAAGCGTTGCAACTGCAGTACTTCTTCACGGCGGGGCACGACGAAGTGAAAGCATGGACCATTCAGGTAAACTCGTAACTTCAGTGCGAATTAATCTCGACGATATTGAACAAGTTACAGAGAATTATTTTTCTGTGTCGATATCTATATGTCTGTGGGTCGTTTATTATTTCAGAAAGGCACGAAAGCACCTCAGGCTGCTGGGAAGATTCACACGGACTTCGAGAAGGGATTCATCATGGCCGAAGTTATGAAGTTTGACGATTTTAAGAACGAAGGATCGGAAGCGGCAGTAAAAGTTAGTATCGTAATTGAGCAGGCCGCGGATTCTTGTACATTCAAACTTCGAAATTGCGTAGGAAAAAAATGCATAAAGTATTCAAAGTATATGTATATTCTATAATGTGCAATATTTACGTGTAAAATAATTTTTTTATCGAGATTTTATTTTTTGAATTACTTGTATTTTCAAAAGTGAATTTACATAGAAATCCACAGTCTAGAAAATTAGTATTATTGGCATAATAATATTATAATTAAGTTTAAGTTAACATTGCAATTAATACTGCGAAGTTTTGTATTTTTGAATTTAGAGATTAATTTGAGAGATTAAAAAATAAATTGATAAATTTATAAAAATGATTGACAAAAAAATTAATTAGATAATTAATAAAAATAATTTGAGAGATTAAAAAATCTAGATATGCAGAAGATATATAAAGTACATAGATAAAAATACTTGTTATAATAATGGAAATAATTCTTTTAATTGTACACGAAAACATTGTGTAACAATCCGCAGTTTGATCATAACGCGTGATACTAAAATACACTATCAGTATTCGAACACTTGCTGACGTGATCTTTTGATTATATCACTCATTTAATCTCATTTAAACTCATTTAATAAAAATAAATAAAATGAAAACTGATCGATTAATTAAAATTAAGGCTAATCTGTCGACACGCACTCTGATATTATTTCGATCGTAACGAAAGCGATTTATTATTAATCTTCATTTACACCTTTGTTTTACAACAGGCTGCCGGGAAATACAGGCAACAGGGGCGCAACTACGTGGTCGAGGACGGCGACATCATCTTCTTCAAATTCAACGCCGGTGCTGGATTGAAGGACGCGAAGAAAAAGTGATGGCACGTTTTGCTCATGTTGTTGCTCGTTCATTTGTACATCAACATGATCGCCATGTTCTGTTGTACGCGCGACATGCGCATAAAACGATCGAAATCGCTTTCCGACACCCCTTGAAGTTTCACCTGTTTTTTTTCTTTCTTTTTTTTTTTTT